CATCTAGGCAGGTTTGGACACTCTGAGTGTCCGAGTCAACCAGGACCAGGGTCAAGAAGGTCTTGGACTAAACTACCTGCTGGCCTACCCCATGGACCCAGCCAACCACCACTGAGAGTTGAGAATGACTAGGCAAGGCTTAACAAAAATGTTTCTTATTTGTTGTTATCGAGTCGTTTTAGTTGGATCTGACTCTTTGTAACACCATTTGGGGTTCTCTTGGCAAAGATACTGGAGGGGTTTGCCATTTCCTTCTCTAGTTCAATTTACAGATGAGGAAACTGAGGCAAACAGGGTTAAGTGACTTACCCAGGGTCATACAACTGGTGTCTGAGGCCAGACTTGAACTCACTGAGTCTTCCTGACTCCAAGCCTGGCTCTCTATAGTGCCACCTAACTGCCTTTGTGATTTTTCTTGGGATGGAGTGATGCCCTTTCCTTTAGGTCTACCCATTCATCTTCACAAAAGGAGGTCTGGTAGAAGAAGGGCAGAGGATATTCATTATACCAAAAGACCATGGGAGCAGAATCTTTCCATTCCCAACTAAAATACATTGGATTCAAGGCAAAAAAATAGTTCTTGAGAAATTGATACACTTTTGTATGTTAATGTGGAATCTTGGCAGAGTCCTGTTTAGCCTGGAGGAAAGATGGCTGGAGGGGGGCGGGGAGGGGTGACATCTTAACTGTTTTAAGTTTTTGGAAAGCCACAGAAAAGGGATCAGCCTCATTTTGCCTGACCCCAGAGGGCAGAACTAGTAAAGACAGGTAGAAATTGAAAAGAGGTGGATTCAAATCGCCTTGATGCCAGGAAAAAAATGATGAGTACTATACTAAAGTGGAGGGAGCTGCCTGAGAAAGGTGGTGAGGGCCTGAATGGCCACTGGTTGGGGATAATAGAGGAGGAATTCCCTCCTGCTCTGGATAAGTTGAACCAAATGGTCATTACGGTTCCTTCCATTTGTGATGTTCTGGAATTCTTTCTGTCCACTCAGCAGCTTCATCTCTTTTTATCCTCTTTGCTTGACATGGATCTAGGCTGGACATTCATGACTTTCAAAATTTTTGCTCAAGGGGAATTTCTGCTTGTTTTGCTCACAACTTATTTTCCTATGTGTCAACAGTCATGAAAGCCTCCAAGGGGCTTAGAAAAATTTACCAAAAAAAGAAAAGAAAAGAAAGTTGTATTACCTGCATGTCGCTGGCCTCAAGGGAAACTGCTCCTTTCTCAGGTGGGGTCAGTCAAAGTCACCAGGGCCTCTGGAGTGTCTTAACCTCCCATCTGAAGAGCTAGCCCATTGAGGACAAGGTTGAGCCAAGAAGAAACTGGGAACCCTCTAAGGAAAAGACGGAGGACCAAGGATCATCGACTTAGAAATAGAAGGTCATCGAGTGCAGCCCCCTCATTTTACAGATGGGAAACTGAGGCCCAGAAAGGCTAAGGCTCTTGCCCAGGGTCACACAGCTGGCAAGTGTCTGAGGCAGGAAGTCTCTTCCTTTGGGGTTACACAACTTCAACCTGGAGTCATCAGCTGCAAAACTGGCTATAATTCTCCTAAACCCAGAAGCAAAAGCAACTAAGGGGGCAGCCCATGGGTTTGGCAGTGAAAGGTGAGAGACAGGGGAAAGTCCAGGATGATAGCCAGGTTCCAAGCAGGACTTGGTAGCTGAGTAAATGCTGGCCCTCTGGAGAGAAGGAGAGGAGTTAAGGAGGAGAAATGAATTACTAGGGAAAGATAACCCTGACTTTTATGGTTTATGGCACATGTGACCCTTCCATAAATCCAGTCTGCTTTCCTAAGTCCTAATCCACTGTTGAATCCCTTGTAATTATACAGGCCAAAAGTCCCAAAGCCCTTTCCCATACATCATCACTTTTCAGACTTAAAGCAGCCCTGTAATGTAAGGAAGGCAGATATCATTTTCTCCATTTGAAAATGAGAAAATCAAGGCTCATGGCTGTTGGGTGACCTGCCCAAAGTTACAGGGCCAGTAAGTAAGTAGATAGCTGGCCTTTGACACCTAGCCCAGGGCTCTTCTATTCCATGGTTCTGGCTCGGAAAGGCAGGCTCTCAGCCTCCCCTCTGACCGTGAGTAGGATTGAGGCCAGATTTGATGCTCTTGTACAACAACAAAAAGCAACGCAGCCAAAATAAAAAGAACATAAACAGATAGGAGGAAAATCATTGCCTTTGATATTTCTGATAAAAATCTGACATCCAAAAATTAGGAATGAATTGGATCAATTTTGTAAGTGTGGGATTTGATGGATAAGTAATCAAATAAGAAATATGTTACTCATGATTTTGAAAAACTGCTCAAACTATCTGATAATCAGAAAAATGAAAAGAAAACAACTCTGAGATGTCCTTTCATTATGCCTATTAAATTGGTAGTAATCATTTAAATTGTTAAATGTTCTCTTTTTTTTTTTTGGAGGCATAAGGGGTTAATCACTTAACAGTGGATAGAGAAACAGGCTTGGGGTCAGGAAGACTGGTTTTCTGAGTTTAAATACCAACTCAGATATTTAGTAGCTGTTGTGACCCTGGGCAAGTCACTTCACTCTGTCTGCCCCTGTTTCCTCATCTGTCAAATGATCTGGAGAAGGAAATGGCAAACCATTCCAGTATCTCTGCCAAGAAGACCCCAAGTGGGGTCACAAAGGGTCAGACATGACTGAAAAACAACTGAACAACAGTATTACTGCCGAGAAAGGCGGGAAGCCATCCCCCATGCTGAGTGGTCCCCCCAGTGCTGAAGCTGTGAGAGAGCATGGAGGAGAGTGGGCAGGTATGGATGGGTGGCAATTTGCATCATTAGAGGGAACTTCCAAATCAATGAGATCACAAATCCATTGAGTAGTTGAGTATTTCCCTGTCAACAGGGTAACATGGTTGCCATAAAAATGAATGTGACAGTCTACTCCCATCCTTTCAAGAGGTTTTCTCATTGTTTCCAATGGTGCAGATTATGGCCCACCCCATACCATAGTCCGTGAACAGAGTCCTCTATGTGTAGTTAAGAATACTAGTGTTTGAAAACTGCTTCAGAAAACTTGCTGGGCACATCACTTAGCTCCTGGGAGGCTCAGTTTCCTCACCTATAAAATGAAGACGATGGATAATAATAGCACTTACCTCACAGTACTATTGGGAGGAACAAATGAATGAACATTTATAAAGTACTTTTCAAACTTTAAAGTAAAGTGAAGTGATAATAACCAGGAGAGAGAGAGAGAAGAGACAAGAGAGACAGAGAGACAGAGACAGAGAGTAAGAGAGGGAGAGACAGAGAAGTGAGGGGTGGGGGGGGGAGAACATTTTAAGGTTTGCAAAGAACTCTACAAATATTATCTCATTTGGTCATTCCAACAACCCTGGGAAGTAGGCACTATTATTATCCCCATTTTACAGATGAAGAAACTGAGTCTCAGAGAGGTGAAGTGACTTGCCTTGACTCCAGATCCACTGTTTTGTCCACGGCCACTAAGTAAATCTTAGCTCTTATTGGTTCTTATTGTTGTTCTTAATAGCTCTTATTATTGTAGTTCATATTCTTCCAGGAGAAGCAGCTTGGCATAGTGGAGGGAAAGCTGGCCTCAAAGCCAATTAGACCTCGGTTCAAGTCTTATCTCTGACTTATCCTGGCTGTATGATGTTAGACAAGTCAGTTAACTTCTCAGCAGCCAGGGCAACTCTCTAAAGATTGTTAGTTGTAGAGAAGGTGCTAACCTGCATCAGTAGAGGGAGCTTCCTCTCCTGGGAGTTCCCTGAGCCAGTGCTACCACAGGTCCATTCCCACTCCTCCTCCTCAGATCTAGCCAACCTTCTAGAAGCCTTCTCCTAGGTCTTCTTACAATCATTGGGTCCCAGGGGCGTACTCCGACTGTCCATCTGCTTCCTTTACTCAAACCATAGCCTCCTTTCCAATTATGCATTTCCTCAATGAACTCCCTCCACACCCCTTTTCACACATAAGTCATTGTTGGAAATTGACATGGATGCATTAAGAGAAGCCAATTGCCCGTAATGAGAGAGGTGAGAGCCTCCTTGCTAGGCTTTGGTCAATCCCCTTCTGGAGACTTGTGTTCAATTTTGGCCACAGGATATTGGTGACCTAGAGCACACCCAGAGGAAGATAACAAGAGAGCTTGAGGATCAATTACCTATTCATGTGCACATTGTCTCCCCAACAGAATGGAAGCTCCCTGAGGGCAGGAACTGCTTTCCCTTTTTCTTTGTAGCTCTCACAATTGGCACTGCGCCTGACACTTGATAAGTGTGTAATGAATGCTTATTGATTGATTGATTAAGCTGAATTGAAAGAGCTACTCATAATTGGTCTGGAGAAAAGAAGACATTGGGAAGGACATAATCTCTGTCTTCAAGAAGGATCAAAATCATGGCCTTTCCAAGCTAGAAGAGAACCTTAGAGATCATCTAGTCTGGCTCCTTTATTTTATATCTGAGAAAACTGAGGCTCAGAGAAGCAACCTACTTAAGGGTCACCCAGCTCATTAGAGACAGAATAGGGGCTAGAACCACTCTCTCCTGCTTCTGATCTGATCCATTAGATTCATCCTGCTTTAATTTCAGAGAAATTAAATGGTATCCGTGGGTTCAAATTAAAGGTAGACAAACTCCAGTTTAATCTAAGGAACTTCATAATAAGGCCCACCTTGTGAGGCAGTGCTAATCATCACTGGAGGCATGAAGGTAGAAGTTTTCATGGACTTTTGTTGAATTTTGTTGGATTACTGATATAATGGCAGTCTATCGCGCAGGGAAATGGCCTAGATGACCACTTCTAGGATTTTAATGACACCAGAGCTGTAACCAGAGGAGGGGCATGCTTCTTTCTCATCAGTGCCTGTCATTCCCTCTATGAATGCTTAGGATCTGGGTGTCTGGGTCCACCTGGGAACATCTGGGTCCACCTGGGGGCAGGTCAAGGCTGTCTTGAATGAGCCCCACTTTTTTCTCTATTTTGCATCCTAGGATGAAGAATAGGCTGTGGTACTTTGAATTTGGCACAACAGAAACCTTTGCTTCAACCTGCAAAAAGCTGCATACCTTCATAGAGGTGGAGGTGAGTCCTTGCAATTGCAGATTTGGAGCTAGAAGGACCTTAGGTTAGACATCGAGTCCACCTCCCACACACAAAGGCAGGATTCGAACCCTGGTCTCCTGACTCAAGTCCAACACGCTATTTACTCTTCCATTCTGCCTCTCAAGCAAAGTGGGACTTTCCTGTCTTGGCCTCATTTTCCTCCTCCCCAAAATAGAAAGAACACCATCTGTAGTGCCCACCTCACGGTGTTATTGTTGAACTCCAGGTGCTGGTGCCTTGCCCTTCAAATCACCCTCGATCTATTGGGTATGTTCCTAGGCAATGTAAGTGTGCATGTTGTCTCTCCTGGCTAGACAGTAAGGTCCTCAGGGCAAGACAGGGTTTCATTTAGCACATGACGCAGAGTAGATGGTTAATCAGTACTGGCTGATTGATTGATTGGGTGTTATGAAAGTCAGATGAGATCATTATATAAAACACCTTGTAAGCTTGAAAACACTAAATAAATTTACATGATTAAAAATAGTAAAATACAGCATGCTATAAGATGAAATTATATGGCTGATAATATGGTACAAGACAGTATTATATAGCATGATATGAAATAATAGAATGATATGATGTGATGATTGTTATATGCTAAATGGGAGGGGATGGATAATATAGCAGAGTATGGTATAATAAAACATGATATATGGTGTGACACAGTGTAATAATATGACATAGTATGACAGTTTGATAATGTAACATAATAACCATAGCAACATAATAGAACATAACATAATATAATATTCTATCATATCGTATATAACATAATATAATAAAACAGCATAACAAAATAAATGTAGCAATGTGATAGTATATAGTATGATCTGATATAATATGATATATGACAATATAGCAACATAATATATCATATTGCATGATATAATATATAACATATCATCATATTATATAACACAGTGTAATGGTTGTAACAATATAATCTATGACATGCTATCCTATCATCTAACATAATATGCTACAATATAACATAGTTCGGTCTTCTGGCTGTTCCACTCTGGCCAAGTGTGGGGAGTGACAGGGGTGACCAAGGTGGAGGCTGTGGCCAAGGACTGGTGACTGAATGGAAGGTCTGGGAGATGACACAAACATGGTACCACTGATGGCAGCCATGGGAGCCACTGAAGCAGGCCCTCTGGGCGGGATCGTACTGTAGTAGCTTGACTTAGAGTCAGGAATCCTCAGGTCAGATCTTGGCACGATGCAAAACAGTTGTTCTTTCTGTGCCTCAGTTTCCTCATCTGTAAATTGAGGTGTTTGGACTTAATGGCCTCCAAAGTCTCTTCCAGCTCTGGATCTAGGCCCCCATGATCCTTCTCCTCTGGGGCCTTGCCATTTCCACAATCCCTTATTTCCCAGAATCTTTCTGGGCCTGCATCAACCTGTGTGACACCCCTCTGTTCTTCCTTTCCTAGCTAATTAACACACTCTGGCTCCTCTCACCACAGTGATGAGGCTCTGAGTGTCAGACAACTAATGCTGGAAGCAAGCCCCAAATGGCTCATTTTACAAAGGGGGAAACTGAGGCCCAGCGAGTGATGTGACTTATCCAAGATCACAGGGGGAGTAAACAGCAGAGCCTGGATCTGAAGCCAAGGTCTGCAATGCCAGCCTTCTTGGAGCTTTCTTAGTTGCCTCTCATCCCTAAAAGGGGCGGCCCCTTGAGTCTGCCCTATTACCTCTGGCTCATGAAGCTGCTCCTCGGCTGCCCCTTGCAAACCAGCCCTCTGAGCTGTCTCCCCTGAACTCCGCTGTGATTTCACTGGTGCAGGGAGCACCAGTGAGGAAGCTCCCTCTGCCAATGCAGATCAGGGGTCAGAGGCCTGAGACCCCAGAGGTCAAGTGACCTGCCCAGAGCCCCTCAGTCAGGTGGATCTTGCACCTGCACCCTCTTGACTCTGAAGTGTGTTCTGGCCATTGGTGGACAGTGCCTGTCAGCTTCTTTTGTCCTCATCACAAAGCTCTGAGGAAACTAAGGGATGCCACCATTCATCGGTGGCAGCTCCAGAGCAACCTTTGAGATGGTCCAGCCCAGGGATGCTTAGCCTTTTGGGGTCCCGGATCTGTCTGCCAGACTGCTTGTTGTGGATGCTGATTTTCCAGAGGGAATAATCCTCCCCAGGCTGCTTTTGAATCAAATCCAAATTCAAAGGTTTCTCAAAGTCCTCTCTGGCTTCGTTGCTGGCCTCCTCTCTGCCTCTCCCTCTGTTGCCTGGTTACAAAAGCACCAATGGGCAGGGCTGATTTCTCCATCTGAATCCGCCCAGTGAACTTTCGCCAAGAAAAGGCCACGCGGGGAGAGCTGGGCTGCCTCCCCAGCTGTTGGTGCCTGAAGGATGCTGAGGGGCGGCCAGGGGGAGGAGGGAGCCCCCCCCTTTTATTTACATACAAATATGCTGATTGGGAGAGGTGGGGGAAGAAGGAGAGGGCCGTGGCTGCATGGAGGAGTTTGGAGAAAACAGACACACGGGCAGTTTTCCTGTCGGTACAAGCATCTGGCAGGGGCTCTTTAAACATATGCTGTGTGAATGTGGAGCTGGGGGAACCGAAGGAGCTGACGTCTCCTACCTCCTACAGCTGTGCTTGACACTTTGCCAGGAATACAGTCATTCTCTCTCCCTCTCTCCCCCTCTCCCCCCTCTCTCTCTCTTTCTCTCTCTCTCTCTCTCACACACACACACACACACACACACACACACACACACACACACACACACACGAGTATGTGACTAGGCCTCTCTCTACTGGCTTTGGTTCCCATAAGAAAGATTATTTCCATTATTTAGAAAAAAGGCCTCAGGACAGAAGGTGAAACAAGGCTCTTTTTAGTCTCTGCTCAGGATTCATGCTTCACCATGCACAGTGGGATTTTGTGCGTGCGTGCGTGTGTGCATGTGTGTGTGTGTGTGTGTGTGTGTGTGTGTGTGTTATGGGCCATTGGGGAGGGCTTTGGTAAACCTCCTGTTATCTCTGTCTCCCAATAACAGTCCTTTTTAGCATTTATCCATAAAGAGTGAGCAAAAAGAAAAAGGGAAATCATGTGAGAAGCAGTCTGATGGGCTGGCAGACAGGAGGGGTGCCCACTGTGCAGTTGAGAAAACAGCTGATTTTTCCAGGATGGATTTGGATCCTGCCTGACAGGCGTCAGAGATGAAAAATGAAGAAAATTTAAAGGAGTGGTGTGGGTGAAAGATGTGAGGTCCCTGAACATTACCCCCCGAGAGAGATGGGAGCTGCTGATGGGGTCAGGGAGAATAGGAATGTGCAAGGACCCTCTGCCGTGGGGCCTCCGAGACAGGTTTGCTGTCTTAGCAGAGTTCTGTGACTGGCTAGACAGATGGATGGCCCAAGGGTGGCCTACCTGTGGAACATTGAAAGCATCCGATGAGATCCTCTAGAATGTTGGGAGATCCTTTTTTGGAGCATTTGTGGAAAGATGGGGATGAGAAATGTGCAGAATGGGCAGGGAAGGACTGCCATCTGGCCAGGGGATGGAACACCTACCCTGGTGAGATCACCAAACTGGAGCATCTTGGGGGGAGGGGGGTTAGACCAGACGTATGATTGCCCTGTCTGAGGGAACTCCACTGAGGATCTGCTGCCTCTGGCGCAGATCAGCTGTTGCTCTGACACCTAGCCTTAGTTATCTGGGGCACTGATTGTTTAGCTGACTTGTCTTTTTTTAAATGTACTTATTTTAATACTGGAGCAGTTTGCCATTTCCTTCTCCAGGTCATTTGACAGATGAGGAAACGGAGGCAAACAGAGTTAAGTGACTGGCCCAGGATCACAGCTGGTTAATATCTGAGGCCAGATTTGAACTCAGGTCTTCCTGACTTCAAGTCTGGGGCTCTAGCCACCCCACCACAACTTGGAAATAAGTATTTTTAGAAGGAGCACAGGAGCAAACTAACAGCATGACCATAAATCATGGCTGAGAAACACTAATAAAAGTTTGGCAGACTGCTAAAAAAAAGATCATTTCATATATTTTGGAAGTTTCTTTCCATGACTCTTACTGGGGACTAAACAGCATATGATAGAGCTCCTTCAAGACCCCTTTGTTCATTCTCCAGGCCGTTAATGCCACCGGTCCAAAAAAAGATCCCTCTCTATTTATTTTATCCCATGTTTACTGCCCCTCCCCACCCCCGGGGCACTGCATCCTAGAGTTGGAGGAGGAAGGGACCTGATGTGGCCCAGGCCAACCACCTCACCTGACAGAGGGGGAAACTGAGGCCCAGCTAGGCTAAGTAATTTGCTCAATGTCACACAAGTACTGAGCGGTCGTCAAAGGTGGAATTTGAACCCAGGTCCTCTGACTTCAGAACCATGGCTCTATCTATCATACCACAAGAAGGCCTGGTTATCTATGAATGGGCCTGATCCCGCAGTAGAATCTGAAGGCAGGACTGTCTCGCTTTAGTCGTGTCCCAGGTCCTAGTCAGGTGCCCGGCGTGGAGCGGACACTTAATGGAATATTTGTTGATTGAGATTTAAATATTATTATAGACACAATATTATATAGACACACCTAGACATGTACACACATACACACATACACATGCATGTAAACACGTGTACATATACACATACATGCCTATACCTAAACATATACATGTGCATATACAAAACACATCTACTGTGTGCGTACATACACACATAAAACACATGCATACACACAGAGACACACACATACATAAACATACAAGAGAAGAACTACCACTTAGCAGACACCAAGCTGGCGTTGGGGTCGGGAAGATCTGGATTCAAGTCCTGCCTTTGACCAATCCTGGCTGTGTAACCCTGGGCAAGTCACCTGACCTCTCAGCGCCCCTCTCTAACACTATTCAATTCAATAAACACGTATTGAGTATCTACTATGTGCCAGGCATGCGCTAAGCACTGGGGACACAAAGTAGGGCAAAAGATAGCCCTTGCCCTCAAGGAACTTA